TTTAAGAGTCTTTATTCTCAGCGTCGCAGCAAAATCAAGACAGAAGACATTGTTAGGTTAAAATGACCAATATCAAGACCCAGTACACAAATGAAAGTGTTTTCTATAACGAGTTTATTATAAAAGTCTAAGCTAAAAATCAAGACAAGACGCACTTTTAATGTAAAGACTCGAAAATACCTGTAAACAATGTGTTTTCGAAGGAATTCTATCGCTCAAAGCTCAGCGTTATTTGACGTACTTGACAAGAACCAACAGCGCCCTTTTAATATCTTTGCTTGATATGTGCTCAAAATAAACCGCAAAAGGAGTTTATCGCTTCTACGGAAAAGTTTGTGAGATACGTACCTTTTTAGCATGAGACTTTGGTTCTAATTCCAGCAGCATTTGTAACGGTTATAAGTGTAGCTGGCTAGTTGAACTCCGAGGACGACGTGTGCATAAACGCACGTGCACTTCTCAACTAAATTGCACGTGCACACTAAATTTAGTACATTTACGCTTCGACTATTTTTCACTAAATTTTACTAAATTTCACTATTTTAATTTAGTGTTGCACGGATATATTGCTTGCACTCTATCCGGCCGGGGTTTCGAATAAAACTAGCATTTTTAGCGAGGGTTTTCACAACGAACTCAACTCTAGGAGCTTCTCGCACGTGGAGAAACTGAAACTTAAGAAACCGCTGACCACATATGCTCGCACTGACATACTCAACCTCGTCCCCAGGGTCTCTCGGCTCGCTCTTTTTTCAAAATGGCGTCGCAGCGAGCGTCCGCCATTTTGCGAGTAGAGAAGACCCTGGGAACGAGGTTGTGACACACTAACTACGAACGGCCAAGCGCCGATGAATACTGTGAAACTCTGGGAAATTGTTTTACTCATTTGGTAGGTTTGATTTTTATTTGTATTAATTGTTGTTTTAAGCACGTTAATACTCCAATTTCGAGTTCTGGTTTGCTCTGTGTTAGCCTCAAAACCAAGTAACACATTCTTTTGTTTCATTGATAGCTCGAGAAAACGCATGGAATTTTGTGAAGAAAGACAATAAATTTGATTTGAAATCTCACACTTTTACGCTCACAATAAGGAATATTTTGCGCACAAATTTTTCTCGAGTTATAGATTCGTGACCTGTAGCTGTACGTTCAATATATTATTTCCGCGATGTGTTTGCAATGTGGCTCTTCAGTATGTTTTTTATAGATAAATTTGGGAATTAGTAATGTAATTGTTCTTAGTCCTAATGCAGTTTTATTAGATCGGAGTCTAGATCGCCTTCAAGCATGACTTTTGTTTGATATACACAGCTTTGAACAGTTAACTATTAACCAGCTAAACTGAGAGAGCCCGGGCTCGATAGAGAGATTACTTCGAAGTAGCCGATCATCAATCATAGTTAATAACTAACTATGCGTCAATAAAAGAGTCTCAAAATATTCTAAAATCTATAATGTAATCTCCCGATCACCGAGGACAGAACCGAGATTTATCTTAAGCGATCGTTAGTGATGATCTTGAGTAGACGTGAGCGATCGCTAGCTATTTTGAAATACATTTGCATCCCATGTGTTCGTCAGCAGCGTGGCATAGCGATATACTTTCTTACGCCCTTTTGGAAGCGGAAATTTTAAATTAAAAAATGAACACATGCAAACCACAGCTCTTCAAAAATTGCTATTATCCTAGGGTGCAGTCGAAATACCAGGCGCAAAACAAAAATCTTTAGAAATCGGTTCATAAATCATTCGGCTGTTATAACGTGCTTTTATGCTGGTTTCAATTTTGTTTATGTTATAGTGAAAGGGAATAATCCAAATCTGAAAATAGCATAATGACAGTACTAGTAGTCTAAGCGGCAGAAAGATTTACAATATAATGGCAATTTTACTAATGGAAATTTGTACTGAAGAGTAGGCCTTTCTGTTTCCANTGATTGACATTGTCATAACAACCGCTCTTCGTATTTCTTTCATCCTTGAAAACAAAATGATTGGGTTTAAAAGCGAGTTCCCGTAAATGAATACCGATGCAATACTCTCTGCTGCCCAAATGACTGCAGATTCACCAGTTATCGCAGCAGATATCGCAGTGAATAGGAATGGTAGGTAACAGAGGTTAAACGCTAGAAACACGTAGCACATCGTGTGCATAGATTTACTATAATTACAAGTGTTTTTAATCTTCAGTCTTGAAACGCGTTCATTCAAATTCCCAATTAGTCTCTGATGGTCTCTCAACGTCAGGAAACACTTTATATAACAAACCCATGCAATGACATGGTCTGCGTCCCTATCGTGACATTCATGATTAGAAATGTGCTGTTAGAGAGTTGTTCAGTCATCCTTAAAACGTAAACTAATATCTTTTAATCTGTATATTAATTAGTAATTACGGAATTATGGTAAAACGAAAAGCAAATAAATTAGCAAGTATAGATCATGATAAAATACTCGATAGAATATATGATATAGTATAACGGGAGACCCAAGCTCTATTGTTTCAACTAGTTATACATGAATGTAATCAGGAATATATAGTGTTTTTTACCACTTGAAAACGGTTATAGATTATGAATAATGAGTTAACAATATGACAGGTGTGAATTTGCACTCAGTTTTGAGAAGTTGAAATTAAACAAAAGCGAAATCCTTGAAGTCCTCTTCGTTTTTCATCAATTAAGTTTAGATGAACGGCTTTCGTATTTAGTTCAAAATTGTCCAGCTGATGTTAAACAAGAATGTATAATTAGTTGGGGTTTTTTTAAGATTGCGTTTTTCAAAGATGACAAAATACAGTGCTAAACGTCTACAAAAATATGCGTGAAATCTTCCTCTTCGTCATTAGCCAAGTTTTGACTGGTTATTTACCGTATTACTTAGTCGTTTTTCAAGCTAACCTAATGTTTCTACTTCTCGTAACAGTTCTAAATACTTAAAACTACTTGCTTGAAACCATGGGCTAGGTCGAGACTGCAGAAGTATTCTGCCCCCTTCAGCACATCCAGCGCCTCTTCAATCCGCGGGAGCGGATAATCATCTTTATGGGTCCTGGCATTCAGGCAGCGATAGTCGACGCACAGACGGAGTTTGCCGTCCTTTTTCTTCACAAGCACAACTGGTGAAGCGTACGGACTTGATGACTCTCTTATGATTYCACGATCCAGAGACTTTTGAATGTACTCCCTGACCTCATTCCACTGGTGTGGCGGTACACGACGGTGAGGGATCTTGATTGGCCGAGTATCAGTCAGGTCCACTTTATGCTCCACCAGGTTGCATAGTCCAATGTCATCATCATCCTTACTGAATGTGGTTTCATATCTGGCAAGGGTCTCTTCCAACTGTTTCTGTTGTGTTGGGGTGAGCTCCCCAATGTCTATTCTACTAACTAGTTCATTAACATCTTCTCTCTTCAGCTCATCTGACTTAGCTTCACATACTCTGACATGGTTTTCGTCGATGGTTACTAGCTTAACTGCCGGGTCTAGAATCGGACGAGAAATAACTGCAACTGGGGTCCTCGGGTTGAGGTATGCATCTCTATCACTAAAGTTGRCTACCTGAATAGGAATCAGACCACTCTGATCAACTGTGACCAGGGATGCCCCAACAGTAAGTCCATGTGGCAATTCAGCAACTTCTACCTCGATGCGCTCTACCAARGCACTGTAGGGTTCACCGGATGATGGGCTAGTCGTCCCCTCTAGAACCCTCATGGAGCGGGCCGGGACAAGGGTGGGACCAGAACCCGCTAACCTTACCCGCCCATACTTTAGGGGTGACATGGCAACTGTATCCTCGCACATGACGGGGGCCCTATACATTTGAAGAGCGTGCAGAAGAGCATTCTCATGGTAATTTAAGTTGATATTGCTCAAAACACTCACAAAGTTCTCTCCGTATTTGGAGATTAATTGTTTACGCAAGTCCCTCAGAACATTAGAKCCAAGTATCCCAGGCACTCTGTTCTTTCTCTCTCTTACTGACGAAGACACAGGGTCTTTCACTATTAGAAAACCCAACCCTGCGAAACTGTTAGATAGCACGGTAAGTTCAAGTTCAACATACCCAATGTAGGGGATGTCCAGCCCTTGTGACGCAGATATTTTGATGTATGACGAAATGTTCAAAACTTCCCTCCCTTCGGACAAATGTCTAACAAAGAAGCTTTCCGTTATAGTCGACACTTCAGCACCCGTGTCGATCAAACAAGCCACGTCCACATCACCCACCCTCACGCTCACATCCGGACAGTCCCCAACCACATTTTCCAGTATATCAGCCCCAGAACTTAAGTGCTCGCCCACTGCATGTTTCGATGCAGTGGGCTCTAGCAGTTTAAATTTGGCTTGTAGGTGCCCTGTTTAGATGTAGATGGTGTCTCCACACTGTTTTTAGGGCAGTCTTTCTTCAAATGGTCAGTAGCATCACACAACCAACACTTTCTCTGCTTTCTTTGGCTTTGTTTTGGCTCGGAACCACTCATGGCTGCAATAAGAGACTCAATTTGGCTTTGCTGGGTGGCAATCTGGGCAGCCTGCTGTTGAACAATCTGTTTTAGCTCCTTCTCCGCTGATGCTTCACGCACCACAGCCTCCTTCACCAGCCTGTCGTGTTTAATCAGTTTCATGACACGGTCACGAGCGTCAAAAAAGGGTAACTCAGGGTGCTCTGTGTTCAGTCGGCGTAGTTCAGTTCTCAAACTCTCATCGTTCACGGCCTCTGCGAGTCTGTTCTTCAACTGGGTATCCCGTCCCGGGAGGAACGAGGGGTCAAGCTGCACCATTCTATCAAAAATCTTTACTAGAGCAAGAAAGCACGAGACTAGGTCCTCCCATTCCCTTTGCCTGTAGCTATAGAACTGTTGCTGTTGGTGGGGGAGACTGTCCCCATCCCCAAACACTCTGATCAGCACGGCAAAGATCTTTGAGGGGTCTGAACTCACGGCCTCTCCCCTCCCTAAGACTTCCCGTCGTGCATTGCCCCCCAGATGTTCTACCAGGAAAGCAGCTTACACGCTGCAGTGGCATCTTCTATTCATTCCTCTACCCCTGGGTCGGAGGGTTTATCTGGCCTTCCCTTAAATTTATCAAGCTTTCTAGACTGGGCGAAGTATACTACACGCTCCCCCGTCCCATCACTTGCACCCTTCTCACTCTTTTCTTCTTTTAATAATTTCTTCAGCTCTCTCTCAATGGCCTCAGCATTCTGGTTTGTTTTCTCAGTCGCTTTCTCATGATTTGCAAGGACTAATTTTAACGCTGTGTCTATATGGCCGGTTACCGGTCAAGGTCTTGAAAATGCTAAATGGCCGGCAGCCCATAAAATGTGTTTTTTCCCTCTCTTATTATCTAAACGAGCTTCCAAACTCCAAAATAAAACTCTACGAGTAAAATGAGTGTGTTAAAACTTACATAAACGTCGCGCCGAAATTCGTTGCACTTAGAGACCCATAAAGACATTGCGAACTTGAACCGACTGCCGGCCACGCAACAACGAAATCCTAAATGGCCGGCAGCCCATAAAATAACAGATTTCTCTTTTAATATTCTTATTTAAAGAGTTAAAACAACATAATCAACATTTCTGAAACTTTCATAGTACTGTAGAGACATTTTTCTTTTCGAGAAAAATCTCAACCAACACGGCGGACTGTCGGTAACCGCGGTAACACAACATCAAAATCCTAAATGACCGGCAGCTCACAAAATAACAGATTTGTCTTTTTCTATTTCTATTTAAAAAGTTAAAACAACATAATCTACATTTCTGAAACTTTCATGATACTGTAGAGACATTTCTCTATTCGAGAAAAATCTCAACCAACTGACGGCGGACTGACGGTCACGCAACGTCGAAATCCTAAATGACCGGCAGCTCATAAATAACAGATTTTTCTTTCCATGCATCTTTTATTATTCAAATTTAAGAGTTAAAGGATTATTGCCAGTGTCAGTACATTACTCTATTCGAGAAACATCTGCATTCTTTACTAGGATTACAGTTCATGTTCAGAGGGTGAGTGCTGTGTGGCATACAGCTCATATCTGTCATATGCAGTGGAATCATTATCCTGATGAAATAAGACTTTAGTATAGGAGAACTATAGCATTGATGTATGATGATAATGTTGTATGATGATAATGTTATATGATAATAATGTTGTATGATGATAATGTTATATGATAATAATGTTGTATGATGATAATGTTGTATGATGGTAATGTTGAGTATGATGACTCAAATGTTGTATGATGATAACGTTGTATGATGATAATGTAGTATTATGAAAATGTTGTATGATGAAAATGTTGTATGATATGATAATGGTTGTATGGTAATAATGCAGTTGTATGCTGATAATTTTGTATGATCTTGTATGATAATGTTGTATAATGATAATGTTGTATGATGATAATGTTGTATGATGATTGTGTGATGATAATGTTGTATGATGAAAATGTTGTATGATTCATCATACAACATTATCATACAAGATCATACAAAATTATCAGCATACAACTGCATTATTGCCATACAACCATTATCATATCATACAACATTTTCATCATACAACATTATCATCACACAATCATCATACAACATTATCATCATACAACATTATCATTATACAACATTATCATCATACTACATTATCATTTATTAGATTTTTCTCGAATAGAGAAATGTCTCTACAGTATCATGAAAGTTTCAGAAATGTAGATTATGTTGTTTTAACTTTTTAAATAGAAATAGAAAAAGACAAATCTGTTATTTTGTGAGCTGCCGGTCATTTAGGATTTTGATGTTGTGTTACCGCGGTTACCGGCAGTCCGCCGTGTTGGTTGAGATTTTTCTCGAAAAGAAAAATGTCTCTACAGTACCATGAAAGTTTCAGAAATGTTGATTATGTTGTTTTAACTCTTTAAATAAGAATAATAAAAGAGAAATCTGTTATTTTATGGGATGCCGGCCATTTAGGATTTCGTTGTTGGTGGCGTTTATGATGACGTTTATGTAAGTTTTAACACGCTCATTTTAGTCATAGAGTTTTATTTTGGAGTTTGGAAGCTCGTTTAGATAATAAGAGAGGGAAAAACACGTTTTAAGGGCTGCCGGCCATTTAGCATTTTCAAGACCTTGACCGGTAACCGGCCATATAGACACAGCGTAATTTTAAAGCCTCCAACTCCTTCTTTAAAATCTCCAATTGCTCCTCAGCAGACATAACTTATCCTCGAGTAAATAAACAATGCTGTACTCACAGTTTAGTTCCTCTTGCTACCGCCAGGGGTTGTCAAACATCTGAATCCTGCTCGCGACGCCATTTGTAACAACAGGTTTTATTGATATTCAGAATAAAATAATCCCTAAAGTAACAATAATTAACATTAGATAGGACTAATTACAATGGAGTATTAAATGCACAAGATTTGAAATACATTCCGCTGCAGTCTAGGCGACCAGTAAATAAATCCTTCGTGAAAACTATTGATACACAAGTAATACTATGGCCGTCTTCAGTTCTCATAGGGAACTATGACTCAGACAATTCATTTTAGCTTTCTCTTCTCTGATCGTTTAAGAGATTTCTGCTCAAGATGAGCGAGATATGATTTGTGATCACGGTCAAGACCGCTGTAGATCATTTTCCGCCAGAGCGGTCGGTCTTGGCAGTTGTTTTCAAAGTTCTTATGGTTGATGTCAAAATTGATCAGGTCCCTTTTGGCTACGTCTTTCCAACGAAGGAGAGGACGACCACGTTTCCGCGAGCCTTCACTCAACTCTCCGTATAGAGCTACTTTTGGCAGACGCTGGTCAGTCATCCTGTAAACATGGCCAAGCCAACGGAGGCGTCTGTGTTTTAAGATGCTTGTCAGAGGCTTTGCATGACAGCGATCCAGAATCACAGCATATCGAACTTTATCTTGCCATCGTAGGCCAAGTATGTTGCGAAGGCACCGCATGTGGAAGCTGTTGAGTTTTAACTCCTGACGACGATAAGTGGTCCATGACTCTGCGCCATAAAGAAGAATACTCAAAACACAGGCCTCATAAACTCTCACTTTAGTCTTGATAGTGAGGTTCTTGTTGTCAAACACACGTTTAGAGAGCCTACCAAAGGTTGTACTTGCTTTCCCCAGGCGGCGATTGATTTCATGATCCAGGGAGCAGTTTGCTGAGATGTTAGATCCCAGGTAGACAAAGTCAGATACGTTTTTCAAATCTTGAGCGTGTACAGTGATGTTATTTGGTATGTCTATGGTGCTCACTATTTCTGTCTTCTTGATGCTGATTTTAAAGCCAAAATCAGAACAGGCCTGAGCAAATTTGTCCATAATAGCTTGCAGGTCAGCGCCCGACTGGGCACAGAAGGCTGCATCATCGGCATAAAGCAATTCGCACAGCTCGACGTGGGAGATCNTGACATCGTCATGACAACCGCTCTTCGTATTTCTTTCATTCTGGAGAACAAGATGATTGGGTTAACAAGCGAGTTGCCAAATAGGAATATTGATGAGATGCTCTCAGCTCCCCAAATGACTGCAGTCTCTCCTAGTATTATAGTTGCTAATGTCGTACATATGAATGGTAGATAGCASAGACCGAACGCCAAAAACACGTAACACATTGTGTACATGGACTTTTTGTATCTGAAAGTGTTTATTGCTGTCTGTTTGGTATTTCCCTCACTCCAGTTGCTTACACTTCGTTGCTGTGCTCTAAGGGTATGAAGACATTTAATATAACAATATGATGCCATGGCAACGCTTAWTAGCATGACTGCTGCAGCCACCTTAAAGTATAGACCTTGCTTTACGTAAAAACGACTGCCATAAAGAAAACAAGAGACGACCCATATCGCAATCACTAGACACACTACTCTTCCATTAGTAACCACAGCTCCGTATTTAGTCCCTTTGTGAATTGCTAGGTACCGGTCCACTGCGATGGCCGTGAGGGTCATAAATGAGGAAGCTCCGAGAGCCCCTCCAGCCACGTGCGTGATCATTGCTGTTATACAGTACCTAGTAAAGTTATGCTCGAGGTCTGCGATTTTTTTACTAGCAACGCAGGCTCTATCATCAGTCCAACAAGGACGTCCGACATGGCTAGGCTGAAGAGAAGTTTAAATAGTCGATGGTTTACGTATCTCAGACGAACGATACAAGGAAATAATCAACAAAACATTCAGAGCAATTGTTGGTAGAATACGTATGGCGTCCAACGTCGCTGCAACGATGTAGACTTCTCTAACTTGGTCGATTTTTGTTGTATTGAACGTCAAGAAGTAGCACCGTTGGGTACCATTGTGGGATCCATTGCGTGGACGTCATTTCCGATGTCATGCATGCGGACTATTGTTGGTCAAAATAGATTTAATTCGAGGAATCAGAAGTTCCACACCAAATTGTCGACCACTGAAAACTAAATAACTGACGAAAAAATGTACCACTGACTACCACATAAAATCAAAAACCCTCGGGTCCAGTAGCATTTCATTTCTGATCTTGTCTTATAATCTCCACATTTCGACACTACAATCGCTAACCACTTGAAAGTAACTGACTTATAAGTGTCGTTGACGGCTTAATAATGGCAACACCTCTAGTAGAATCGACTCCATCCAGTTTTTCTTAACTCTGAACTGTATTTTTGAAACCCAACCAACGTATACAACCACGAGTAATGAATTGAAGCATCCGTTGTTATCATATACGACAAGATAGCATCGAACTTAATTGACTTTTGTTGCTTCAGTTTATTCGAATGAGGAAGAGGGTCCCGAAGGGGGGGTCCAATCCCATTCCCAGCCTACCTTTTTCATTAAAATCCCATTCCCAGTCAATCCATACATTTTTCAAAAATCCCATTGCAGGTTTTCGAAATCCCATTTTAATAATTTAAGAAAAAATACCTTTACATTTGAAGGTAATCTGACATTCTTTTTGTCAGTCGTCTAACTCGACCAAGTCTTGTCGGTTCCAAAAGATTCATTGCAGTGGTAGTAACAGAGTCGACAGATTCATCCTCAACTTCATCATCACTGTCTGATTCACTATCGCTATAACTGTCTTCTTGTTCATATTCTTCACTTTGTTGGTTTTCAAGCTGCAAGTTCTCGCTAGAATCATGACCATCAGCCTCTTCTTGGTCTTCCTGAACTTCTGTTTGAGAGCTGCAGAGGAGTTTTAAATCTAAAGGATTCAAAACTGTTTCTGTTTCATAGAGATTTAAAGGTAGTGTGCCACTTCTGTCCTTTGTGTTGTCCTGCCTGACATTCCTTTGCCTAACACATTTGCCATGTCTTTTAGCCCATGCTCTCATTTTGGCTTCTTCATTTCTGCTCAACACTTGGGAGGGAGGCCTGGGGATGTTTACATGTGGTGATGAAAAAGAACTTGTTGAAGGACGCTTATAATANTACCTATATTTCAACTAATTACCTCACTGGAGTCAGTAAACGATACTATAGAAAAGACTGCACGATGAGCTTGCGAGCCTGCAGGAATTTCCGGTCAGTGGTGTGTAGTGGTTACAGTAGTAGTGAATGTGAGGTTCATTGCTGCACCGGAAGCAAATGCAACGAAGGTACTCAAAATAAAATAAGCCTTTCATCTCTACTAAGAAATGGTTCATAGGTAGCGTGCATCCATCCTGTTATGGATGCACGCGGGAGGTTGCTAAGCACGATAAAAAGCGTAACGAGTGGCACGACGCGAAGTCAACCTCCCAAGTGCATCCATAACAGGATGGATGCACGCTACCTATGAACCATTTCTTTTATAACATAGGCAAGGCGAAGGAACCATTGAAACATTGAGAAAACTGCATTTTTATTCGACGAAAGTATAGATTCTCAATACTACGCACGCTAAAATTAACATATCCCACGTGAAAACAACAATCAGTTGAATAATATAATACGGCTTGTACTTGACTGTAAGGAGTTTATTTAAAAGTTTCTCTTGCCTAAGATGATCAAAATAGTTATGTTTTGAAAAGATTATGTTATGAAAAGGTTTTTCCTCAAACATATGGAGTTTTTGCCAAACGAAGGCATTTTGTTCAAAGTCAACTTGCAAAGCGACGGCCGCTGTCGTTGTGGAAAACTACTTGAACGTTTTCAACATTACAATTGCTAAAAACTGACTGCAAGGCATTCAAGGGGACAACTCCTCCGGTTACAGACAAGTTGGTGGCTTGCTGAACTGACTGACAGTAGACGACGGAAGGCAAAGGGGATTTGAGTTGGAAACCAGATTTCTAGAGAGGACTTCGCTGCAGTTGTGTAGCTGTGCAGTTGAAGGTCGTGTGTTGTAGTGTGCCAAACTCTGCTCATTTCTGTGCCCCGGTATGGCCATAATGTGTCGATTGGGAACACCTGCATTAGACCACAAGGTTATTGCGGTATCTCTCACTGAGTGGTTGGTGTAAAGCTTCGATAAACCTGCCATTTCGCTTATGGTTTTCATCATGTTGTCGAGTTTGTTGACACCGATAGGTTTCGCGTCAAACCACACTTCATCACATGGCTGCCAGGTTTTTCTGGGATACTGGAAAAATGCTTCGCATTTTGGGTTCAACTTTAACAATACTGGACAAAAATGGAATGTTATGATAAAACACTCCGATAAATGTTTACTAATACATTTACATTTACATTTAAGTAATGTACTAATGTACTCAGAGTATGCAGATGACAATGCAGAAGACTCGCTCTTTGTTTCAGATACAATACTAGATGCAATTAAGAAGGAGACAGCTACACTACAAACACTATGCAATGCAATGCAATAATTAAAAAGTTCTATATTTGGCAGTTTTTAAAGCTGACTACTTCTGTCAATTCTGCCTAAGTCACATTACAATCATTTTACCTTGGATTATTCATTATGGTATTATTAAGATATCAAAATTCATGTAGTGTTAGGTCGACTATGAGGACTGCATGGGATTTCTAGTCAAATTCCCGAATGGTACTGAAACAAAAGCTACTCATGACAAATTGTCAATGACAATACGATCCTATCTCGAGCAAGTTGACGTTGCCAACCATATAGCCTCAGTTCATTCATGCGAAGWTAAAACATCAATGCTGGAAACCATTGTTCGCACAGGCCTTGATTTCATTGCACCGTTAAAGACCAAAACGGTCCATTCCAGCGAACCACCATGGATCAACCCTCATCTAAAATCCTTGATAAAGAAACGTCAATCTGCCCTAAGGACTGATGACCTAATGGAGTTTCGTCGCCTTAGAAATGCTGTAAACCGTGAACGTAAAATATGTCGAGCCAAATATTACAATGGAAATGTTCAACACCTCAAAGAATGCTCACCRGCCAATTGGTGGAAGGAGGTAAAAAAACTCAGTGGTAAAGAGAAACCCTCAAGAACACATGATAACATCATTAAGGCCTTAAAGAACCTCGACGGACAAGAGAAATTAAACGACGTGAACATTGCGAACATGGTCAACAGTACCTTCTTAGCACCAATGAAGGATTTCCAAGCTTTACCTGATCAGGTCTCAACTCCTCTCACCGAATCACCCCAAAAGGTCACTCCCACCTCAGTCATGAAGAAACTCTTCGCCATAAATCCAACAAAGGCTCAAGGACCAGACGGAATACCCGGATGGCTCTTAAAAGAGAATGCTGACCTTCTGGCGGATCCTATCACAGAGATTTTGAACAGTTCCTTTTTGGAGTGTCATCTTCCAAGCGCGTGGAAAAAAGCAGACGTAATACCAGTACCAAAACAACGCCCTATTAGAGATGTCAACAAACACCTACGTCCCATATCTCTCACACCAATTTTATCAAAGGTTGCTGAAGAGTTCGTTGTTGAGAGCTATGTGAAACCCGCTGTAATGGCAAAGATTGATTGTCTTCAATTTGGTGCTATTCCTAAATCATCTACTGTCCAAGCACTCATCAGCATGATACACACATGGCTAACTAATACTGACGGCAACGGAGCTACTACAAGAGTTGTGCTATTTGATTTTCGAAAAGCATTTGATCTTATTGATCATAACATTCTCGTAAACAAACTTGCTCTCTTCGACCTTCCATCACATGTAGTACTCTGGATTGTAGATTTTCTCAAACATCGCAAACAACGTGTAAAGCTTGAAGGCGATTGTTTTTCAGAATGGGGTGAGGTACGCGCTGGTGTTCCCCAAGGTACCAAGCTAGGAGTATGGCTTTTTCTCATGAGTAAAAATCGCTGCTAATACCTCGCTATCGAGTTGTTGCATATATTTACATGATTTAAAATAAAAAAAAGTAACTGGAACAAAAAGTTTCCCTGTTTATAAGAATGATTTTAATTGAGTTGCTCTAGAATTCCCCCAAAACGATGTAAATTTGATGTAAAAATGATGTAAATTCGATTTACCAAAATTTACATCGTTTTTACAAACGTTGTAAATTTAATGATTTAATGGAAATATGATGAAAATCAAACGATGTAAATATCGCGTAAATCCAGATTTACACAATATTTACATCATTTTGGACAGTTACACGATATTTACAACCTTTGTAAATATAATGGAAATCAAATTTACATACTTTTCCATTAAATTTACAACCTTCGAGGAGCGCGATTTTTTCCAGTGTCCTGGAAGAGGAACAAAGATTACGTGCGAAGAAAAAAAGTGTAAGATAACATGTTTTCCTTTTTTACTTGAATTTTATCTAACGATGCATGTATAACACCGAGGGTATTAATCAATCGTATTGTAAGTGGGTTTTGAGAGAGATAGGTTGGTTAGCGGAAAGGCCTTTACCTGTCCCTCCATATCATCAATAACTGTTCTCTTGACCCTCCCAGCCCCTTCTCCGTCAAAAGGATAATTTTGTATCATCAACTAACTTAACATGTTCCTATTATCACTATCATTGGATATCAGATAAGGCCCGTGCCAATACCGGAGCGTTCTTACAAAACACACCGCTGTTGGTCCAATGAAAATCTGTGGCCTACGTTTCACGAGCAATTGGAGTATGTCGAGAAATTGTCAAATGAAGTTTGGAAGGTATAAATCCACTTTAATTCTTTGCTTAAAAATCGAATTCAATAAATCTTCACCGCGCACCATATCTTCTCGGCTTCTTTTTTCCAACTTTAAGTATAGTTTAAAACACGAGAGAGAGTAATTTATCAGGTATAAAGATTCGAGCCGAAGGCGAGAATCTTTATATCTGATAAAACACGATCTCGAGTGTTTTAAACGGCTTAAAAAACTCCAACACTAATTTGAAACTCAAATCCGTTAAAATTCTTGGAGAAACTTGCCGTTCAAATATGTTCAGAGATAAATGGTGCAAACTGATCATGCGCGAATCACTTTACAAAGCACTCTTGTCATCCCACATTGAATACGCATAAAGTAAAATAGAACCGCTCTTGGCTGTTGACTGAAATTGGTTGACATCCTGCATTGGTCAATGATCAGGTTTCAAACCTGAGACCTTTGCTAGGGTCATGGACCTTTATATCTGATAAAGGTCACCCTTATTAGTATTCTTTATATAAAGAATACTAATAAGGCGTGTTTTATCAGATATAAAGGTCCATGCATGTGACCAAATAGGCTCATTCTATTGGCCTAGTAGCTCATTAATTATGTATGAGTTTTTTAAG